GCTGGGGTCCCCACTGGGGTGTCCGGCCAGTCTGGGTGAGGGGCTGAGGGCTGTTTTTAGGCAGACTGAAGCTCCCAACTGCTCCTTTTTTTCTTTTTATTCTGGGCCAGCTTTAGCTCTGGTTCCAGCTCTGAGGCCTCGTTGCTGAAAGGAGGTATCTGGTTTGTTTGGGTTCTATAACTCTGAGATCCTGGCTCGCTGAAAGCAGGTTTCTAGGTTTTTTTTTAGCTTCTATATTTGTTAAAATGTTTCAAACCTGGGGCTCAGAGGCCGGCAAGGCAGGCCGGGAACGTTGGTTTCCTCCGTCACTGAAGCAAGCAAGCCTCATGTTAGTTTCAAGCTGCCTGGCTGCCGGCTGCCATCTTGGCTGATAATTAATTTGCATATCGCCCTGATTAGCCAATGGGAAGGGTAGCAGAGATACAGCTAATTACCATGTTTTTCTTTTATTAGATAGGATATATAGGATGATTGTGAATTTGATATTTACATACATAGAATTTTCAAAGAAACCAGATACTTTATATGGTAAAGCTAGGTTCCTTAAAATAACACTTGCAGTCAGAATGTATGTACATTCTACTCTGAAGTACACACTCACACACACACATTTGTTCACTGCCGTGTCCTATTACTTGGGATAGATAATCCTATTTGATATGTAGTTTTACATTTACTTTAGGACCATATTAATGTCTATGAAATGTGATCACATATCCAGTTACTAAATATACATACATAAAACCTCAAAATCATTTCTGTGGACTTTACTACAAAATATGTATTTAAATATTTTAGATAGCTAATTCATTTCAGAAGAGGTACATGATAATGTTTTTTTTTAAATTTATTTTTATTGATTTTAGAGTTGAAGGGAGAGAGAGAGGGAGATAGAAAAATATATGATGAATAAGAATCGTTGATTGGCAGCCTCCTGCACTCCCCCTACTGGGAATTGATCCCACAACTCAGGCCTGTGCCCTGGCCAGGAATTGAACCGTGACCTCCTGGTTCATAGGTTGACATTCAGCCACTGAGCCACACCGGCCAGGCACATGATAATATTTTGGAAAACAAAAAAATATAATGTTTTTATATCACCAGAGATGTTTTTCATAACAATACATTTTCTGTCTCAGAACATTGAAATCCTTGGCAGCTTGAAAGTATAAGGCTTATTTAATTTTCTTTTCTTTTTTTTTAAAATATTTTATTTATTTTTTACAGAAAGGAAGGGAGAGGGATAGTTAGAAACATCGATGAGAGAGAAACATCGATCAGCTGCCTCCTGCACACCCCCAACTGGGGATGTGCCCACAACCAAGGTACATGCCCTTGACCAGAATTGAACCTGGGACCCTTCAGTCCACAGGCTGATGCTCTATCCACTGAGCCAAACCAGTTAGGGGTTATTTTACTTTTCTTAAAATTTTTTGTGGAGTGATATTTAGTTATGTTTAACCTATTTATGTTTAAAGCATCAGTATCTTCATAATCCCTACTGTTTGCATACTTACCTTTGTTTGTGTGGAAGATACTGGATCATGAAGATTTGGAGAGGATACCATGTTATGCTGAATCACAACCACAGTTTTCAATGTTGGAGTAATAAATTATTTTGAAAATTCCAGTTGCTTTTTCTATGGTTCCTGTCCTCCTACCTTGTGGTAGTGGACATGGCCATTTTACCGGCATTTTCTACTCTTTCCTGTCGCCTCCATTTTTCTATGCCTACGTTGTCATGTAATTGCACAATTACATATGATAAACTTTGAATTTTTCTTGTCTATTCAGAATAACCTTATTTTATAAGGACTTGGCTCATAGTTATTTGCACTTGAATCTCACTTTTTCATGACCTAACATAACATTCCAGATGCTACCAGGACTGCTTTCTGGCCTATTCTATGGTTACTCAAAAATATATTTACTGCTGTTTTTGAATATGAAATTTTTCATAACTTGAGATAGTTTAACTTTTGTCTTTTTCCAATGTGAGAAAATTATTCAAAGTGTTCTTTGAGAGGTTTATCTTAGATACTGTTCATTTAAAATAACCATGTGTTTAGCTTTTTTGTTCGTTTAATTTCATTTATTTATTTACTAGAGGCCCAGTGCACAAATTTGTGCACCAGTGGGGTCACTTGGCCTGGCCTGCGGGATTGGGCCGAAACTGCTCTCCGACATCCCCTGAGGGGATCTGGATTGCGAGAGGGTGCATGATTGGAGCTGGGGAGAGACACGGGAGGTTGGCCAGCCAGGGAGGGACTGCAGAGGGCTCCAGGGCTTGTCTGGCCTGTCTTGCTTAGTCCCAATCGGCCAAACCCCAGCAGCAAGCTAACCTACCGATCGGAGCATTTGCCCCCGGTGGTCAGTGCACATCATAGTGAGTGCTTGAGCGCCCTTAGCATATCATTAGCATATTATGCTTTGATTGGTTGAATGGCATAACAGTTGACCAGACACTTAGCATATTAAGCTTTTATTATATAGGATTTATTTGAGAGAGAGAGACAGAGTGAGAAATATTAGTTTTGTTGTTCCATTATTTTATGCATTCGTTGATTGATTTTTGTATGTGCCCTTACCAGGGATTAAACCCACAGCCTTGGCATATTGGGACAATGCTCTAACCCAGCAGTTGCCAACCTTTCGGACCTCATGGACCACCAGTAGTCCGTAGACTATTGGTTGGTGACCGCTGCTCTCACCAACTGAGCTATCCAGCCAAAATTGTGCAGCTTTTTAATTTTTTAGTTTTTTAGGTCACACACACAAAAAGTAAGTGATGTTAAGAAATTTTCTGCCCTGACCGGTTTGGCTCAGTGGATAGAGCATCGGCCTGCAGACTGAAGGGTCCCAGGTTTGATTCCAGTCAAGGGCATGTACCTTGGTTGCGGGCACATCCCCAATAGGGAGTGTGCAGGAGGCAGCTGATTGATGTTTCTCTCTCATTGATGTTTCTAGCTCTCTATCCCTCTCTCTTCCTCTCTAAAAAGTCAATAAAATATATTTAAAAAGAAAAGAAAAGAAATTTTCTTAGTTCATACTTGCTTATAGATTATCATATTCTACTTACAATTTTTTTAATGTGAATTTTTATTCAGTTTAGAGTTTAGTGTAGTTTCACAGTATTATTTTTAAATTTGGTTGGAGGATATATTTAATGAAGATGGGTGTTCATCTTACCATTTTTTTTTTCAGCTTTCTTATATGCTTAAATTTTTCAAAAGTAAAAGCTGGGAACATGAAAAACTAATTTGCTTTTCTTAGCATTTTCATTGGTCCTTTCATCTTGGTC